TAAAGAATGAGAATTTTTTTCATTACTTTCAAAATCTAAAGGTTGCACAAATTCACCATCTAAATTTAATACTCTTTCATATTCCTCAGAAGTAACTTCATTGCAAAAAGCTTCACAGTTACACAAATGATTTTTGCATGTGGTTTTTTTATTAACAAACTTTAATTCAGATTCTTCTTTATTAGAGTATACACGTTTACATGATCGGCAAATTGCAAAATGATGTGTTGAATTTGCTTTTTCTTCAGAAATTATAAAATAAGGTGTAAACAGATATTGTTTTTTCCCCATTTTTATTATAATATTAAGTATAAAATTTAACTTTATATTTCGTTATTACAAAGAAGTTATTCGAAGAAATACAAGTTTAAATAATTAATATAAATAGACTAATAACAACTTATTTAACAATATAAAATGCAATTCTATTTTTATCGTAATTGTTAAATGTCTTGACCTGGTTAATTTGGTTAAATAATCGATTCATTGGTTCAAATAGTCAATTGTTATTTACCCGGTTAAATTAACAACACTGGTTTGGGGCGGTCCAAACCATGTGATAATTAGCATCATATATGGTTAAAACTAGATTAATACTAGGATAAAACCATAGGTGATGCTAATCATCACATAGTATGGACCATCCCAAATAGTCTGAACAGCATATATACATACATATATATACATACATACTTAACATGTATAACTTGAAACTTATAAAGATATAGTTTAAAATTAATTTTGATTACATAAATTTATAGAAAGTTTTACGTACCTTATCAAGTATAAAAATATGGCTTTAATTTTAAATATCTTAAATTTTAAACATACATAAATTTTAAACATTTTAAATTTTAAACATGGGGCCTTTGCCTTGAAAATAACCTTATAGTATCATATACCGTAAAGTCATTTTCAAGGCAAAGACCCTACATCTTAAATTTTAAATACAAATTTTAAACATTTTAAATTTTAAACATCTTAAATTTTAAACATCTTAAATTTTAAATATCTTAAATTTTAAACATTTTAAATTTTAAACATCTTAAATTTTAAATATCTTAAATTTTAAACATTTTAAATTTTAAACATCTTTCTTAAATTTTAAACATCTTAAATTGATGGAAAAAAAATTGTCGGAATTTAGCAAGAATATTAGTCAATATCTATTTTTTAAGTTTTGTAAAATAACCTGTTATACCAAACGACAGTACTATTACACCCACAATCACTATAACTTCCAGAACTATAAATACCAGTGCAACCACTACTGCCATACCCGCAAATGCTTGATTCTTTAATAAAGTATATATTTTTTTTTTATAAGTTTAAGAATTATAATATCATATATTAGTATCGAAGTTAGGGAGCACTTTGTCCAATTACAAACTTTAGTTCTCTAATGTGATCTGCTTAATGACAAATACATAGCAATAGACGGTGTAATCACTATTAATTAAAATACCAACCAATAATCTTGAGTTTCTAATATATCAATCACATGAAATCAAATATATATATATATGTGCGTATATATCGTTTTATAAAATTCATCTTTATTAGAAATTAATACACTTCCCATTAGCTATTTTAAATAAAAGTCAAGGTTAGTAAATCTTAGTAACATGTATAATAGTTTGTAGCTTAATAATAATTGATAGATTACTTATTTTTTTAAGCATAAAATTTTTTTTTATTAGCATTTTTAATTCATATTTAGAAAATTTTTGTAACAACGTAATATGGAAGTTGATACAGATTTAGTTACACCAAGTGATTTGGCATTGAACTATAAAGCAAACTATGAGGCAAGCTATGAAGCAAACTATGAAGCAAACTATGAATCAAGCTATGAAGCAAGCTATGAAGCAAACTATACGGTAAACCATGAGGCTAACCATGAGGCTAACTATGAGGCAAACGATAAGACAAACCATGATACTAATGATGAGGCTTCAGTAACTACTACTAGTAGATCTAGAATTAATAATAGAAAGTTGTTGTCAACTGTTTGGAACCATTTTACATTGATAACTTCGGATCAGGGATGATGATTTTATACAAATCGCATAAAACCGCATAAACTGCATAATATAGCCGACAACACATAACAGGTTATATTTGTCACATAATGTCACATAAAATATGGCACTATTAAGTAATTATTACACAACTGGCTCTAAGTACTATTCTGAAAGGCTTCGAATAGAAAATCAATCAACATAAATTACAAGCAAGGTTGAGAAAAAATTGAAGTTCCCAAACAATGCTGCTCACTTTACTGGCAATCATTTTACCCAAAGTTCATTTAGCTGATATCACATAGAGTTAGTGTTAGCGTTTTATTAGTTGCAACATATTTTCAGTAAATTGTCACTTGGCGTGGTGTCGGCTAATATTAGCTAAGTAAGCTGTCAGTGAAATTATCGGTAAAGTAAAGCATATCCAGTTTCAAATTATTATGAAGGACGGTTTTCATAGTTATAAAACTGTATATTTTATATGCAAGACATAGCATAATTATAAATTTTGGAAGCAAAATACTAACACAATTAAGAAAAAACATATACGCATAAAAGTGCATAATTTACTTTTGTTGCATGCATAATTAATAGTTTATTGCAGTATAAAATCATCGTCTCTGCTTCGGATGAGCCTAATAAAGACAAGGCAAAATGTAATTATTGCAAGAAAGAATTTTCTTAAAAAAAATTGTTAGGTACTACACATTTACATCGTCATCTAAAGTCTTGTATTAAGTATAAGAAAGCCTTGGGATCTTTAAATTCAAATTCTAAAAATACTGGAGGTCAAATACAGCTTACTTTTAATCAATCTACAAATTGGGTTTATTCTCAAGAAAAAAGTAAAATAGACTTAGTGAATATGATTATTAGAGATGAATTAAGTTTTCAATTTTCAGAGCACTCTGAATTTTTAATCTTTGTTAAAGGATTACAACCTAATTTTAAAGTTTGAAGTGCTGATACTATTAGATGTGATATTTTAAAACTATATCAAGACAAAAAAAACATCTATTAGAAATATTCTTCAAAATGTTTCGGGTCGAATATCATTAACAACAAATATTTGGATGTCACAACAACAACTTAGTTATAGTTCTGTAACAGTACATTTTATAGATAAGGATTGGAAGCTTTTTAGCTTTCTTATATCATTTAGATTAATACGCTTTCCTCATACTGGAGCCAATATAGCCAGTTCAATTAAGTCTAGTACAGATGATTTTTTCATCACAACGAAAGTATTATATTTTATCTTGCTATGTATAGTATAATATTTAATTTTATTTTATTTTATTTTTTTAACAGTTCAGCAGTCTTGCCTCTACTTTATTAGGCTTTATAATATTATACTGTGAAATATTAAATTTTTTGTAGGGTATAAACTCTAATGCTACCTAAATTACAAGTATTAGCTCACCCGGCTCATTGTAACCAAAGTTCAAATTATTTATATGCGACCTGCTATAGGCAGGATTCTTTTCTAAAATATTCTCTACTGCACTTGCAAAAAATAAATCTTCACCAAAAGGTTCCTACCGGCTTGTCAAGACTACCTATCCTTCTTTCTAAACTTTTTCCATCTAGATTTGGGCAGAATAGTTTATCTTTTACTTTTCCATAAGGGAAGAAAAATATATCACATATATGAAAGAAAACAAAACTATCTAGAAAAAGAAAGAGAAAAACAAAAAAAAAAGAAAAAAAAAACATTTAACTGAAAAAAAGGAGTTCTAAATATGGTTCCATCATAATAGGAACAAGATGAAAAGAGCAGAAAAAAAGACATAGGCGTCCTAATGAACCACCTTAAAAAAAAACAAACAAAAGAAACAAAAAGAAGAAAGATATACTATTATAACCTGTGCTAGGTATAAAGGTAAAAATTATATACTAATTGCAACTAATTAATATATCTCGGCTGTAAAGTTTCGCTTTATCGTTGGGACTCGTTTTGGATACGTCACCAAGATCGGGTATCTCCTAAACAGGGTTATCGATCTCATCCCCATACCATAGCACCATAGTGATAAACAAAACAAACATGTAGTTGTATTCTACTGAGTTCGTCTGAATTAGGTAAGTATAAACAATGCTGATCTTTTGGAGGAGGTAAGCTGGAATGTCTACTTTTTGTCGAAATTTTTTGGTGAGGTTGGCAGAATATGAGAGAGAGAGAAAACACTTGAAACCACCAAAAGAGCGTAGGTTTTCTTTTACTAGAATCAACTATCCACTGGAGCCTGCACAGTACTAAGTCTTTTTAGTAAGTAATAAACTCTAAACTTGTCGGCAAGTAGCATATGAGAACTACTTCTAAACGACAAGTGCCATGTCTGCAGTCAGTAAGTGATAAGCTCTGAGACTGTTAGCAGGTAGCATATGAGAACTACCTCTAAATAATAGCTGCTGACTTACATTTCCTTTTCCCATATCTTATATAAGAAGTCGTCGACTTTACTCTAGTGTACTGTATTTTTTAGTAAAAAGTTTTTTTCAAAAATTGTGGTCCAAATGATTGTCGGAAAGAGTTGATTCAATTCTAACAGTAAAATTAATTGCTAAGATATATTATTCAAAATTTAAACATCAAATAAAATTACTCCAATAATGCCTCTATTCTCTCATCATTGCCATTTGCCACTGTATGCCAATATTTGTCTCGCACTTTTTTGTTTAGCTCATACAGTAAGCTTCAAACTTTCTGCTTTTTTTTGTTGTTCTGTTTTTGCGATTTCTTCCATTACTAATTCACAACATTCATACTTTGAAACCACTCTCTTCAAATATTCTTTGAAATATTTTCCATATGTCAGAGTCAATAACCTTGTGGCACCATATGTATGTTCGTGGAAGATATACTTACAAGGCAATAAATGACAATTTCGAAATTGGCAATGACACTCAAGTGAAATTAAACCCAGAGCACCTTTACTTTTTTCGAGTCTGTACATAATAGCGCAGGCTTCCTTTACTAATAGTTTTTGAAAGGGATAAGGAAATTTGCAAATTTCCTCAAGAATAGTTAATGTGAAATTCAAACGTGACACTCTCTGAATTGGATCATTTTTTAGTATTGATAGTGAGCAGCACTTAAAATTTAAAAATGAGAAAATTAATGTTTAATTTCTCAAAATTAAAAAAAAAATATCCAAGGCAGACTTTCGTATACTTGGCAGTTTAAATCAATTTAATTTATACTTTTACTACCAGTTTATATTATTGCGCTTTGCAAAAAGATGTAACCTTTGCAGATCACAATGTCGTGTAAAAATCGAAGATTCTGTAGATTTTAAGAATCTTAACAATTTCAAATAAATATAAATATAATAGAAATATGAATTAATAGACAATTTAGAATCTCAGAAATTTTTCTTATTCATCATAACAAAAATCATTGGGTCACATTTGTGCTATAATTTCAATTCCAATTTTTTAAAAAACTTGTGCTCTGTTAAATTAAATTAAATTAAAAATACCTGTGATTTGAGGCAGTTTAAAGTACATTTTTAAAAAAATAAAACTATGAAGAATAAACAAAAAAAAAGTATAGTATGTTTATTCTTCATAGATTTATTTTTTTTAAAAATGTACTTTAAACTGTATAAATAATGTAAAATTAAATTGATTTAAACTGCCAAGCATACAAAAGTCCACCTATGATCTATGATTAGAAATGTGTGTGCAATGCCATAATTGCCATAATTTAATAAATTATGGCAAAATGTCGTAATTCATTAAATTACGGCATTTTGCTGTAATTTATTAAATTACGCCATTTTGCTATAATTCATTAAATTATGTCTTGCATTTACACAGTAAATCATTTTACCTATTAACCCATAAAACGATGATGTTGTTCTCTTTAATTCATTGTAGTAAGATTCCAACGGGTTCATAAAGATAACCTGCAAAAGCAGGAGAGAATGTTGGCGCACCCACAAGGTTCACTGCTGACTATTTTTTTTGTAGTTCTTTTCGATATAATTCTAGACAGCAGGGACAGTATTGTGATTAATAGCTTCTTGAATTAATTTTTCATATCCAATTTTCATTCTTTTATACATTGCCCCGATCATAATGTCTCGAGGTTCTTTTTCATAGATTTTGGACAGCCGAACCCTCATTATGTGGACAACACAGAGGATCAGATCACATTCTTGTTCACCAGTGTTTACCCCAGAAAACGCTTTTTTGACGTCTTTTGCTTCGATACTACTTTGATCTGAAAGTATATATCAACAAAACTTACTGCAAATTATTTTTAATGCTTCTCTAATGGTGTCACTATCTTCAACACTAACAAAAAAGTGAGCACCTATATCCCAACAGCCATGGGTATCATAAACATAGAGAGTAAAAAGGCGCCAATTATATTTGTTTGTCTTATGAGTAGAATCAATAAGCATTAACCACCCATGATTGAAGTTTCTTTATCTGAGCGAGATGTGCAAAAACTATGCCTCAATGATCCATTGAGAAATATGATAGTCCTCCACCTGGTACTCTTGTTCTATTAAATATGATTTAGAATCTAAAAAATCTACTCTAAAACCAGAATCACCAATAAGATGAGATTCCACAGACCCACGAACTTTACTCTTAATGTTGGCTACTTCCTTTCATTTTAGTTCGTGCATACTAGAACCCAGACCCAATTTAACTGTCATGTATTCTTTAATGGTAGCAGTTATCATTGGGGGCGAATAATTTTTAACAGCTTCATGCTCCACAAGCGTTTGGATTGCTTTGGAACATTTGATTTTATCTACTTCTTCCAAGGAATGTACATGATTTGGGGAATTTTTGTAGCGTTCGACTTTTACTTTATTTAATGAAACTAACCAAAAAACTTTTACTTTTGTTTCACATAGTCCCGAAGATCATATTTTTGTCACTCAGCATTTCTCTATCGGAATATTTTCTTTTTTACGAGTACTCAAATCCTGATGTTTTGTAAAGCGGCAGGCGAATACTTGCTTTTATATCCATTCCATTGTGACCAAATGTTAGTGACCAAAGGCCACCAAGTATCATTGAAATCATCCATCGGAATCTTCAATGGAAGATTTATATCAAAAAGAAGGCTCTATTTTTCATCTGGAGTGAGATTCGCTATTTACAAAAAAAAAGAAAAAAAAAGTAGAAAGTATCCACAAAAAAAAAAAAACAAAAAAAAAGCAGAAACTATAAAAAAAAAAAAAAAAAAAAAAAACAGAAGAAATCAATGTCTCCTCAATGGCACAAAAAAAAATACAATATATGACATGTAGTAAGAAAAATACAAGGTCGTAAAGGAGGTCAAAGCGAACAGTATCACAGCTAAGTCAAAAATTTGCTTAGAGTTTGGGTTACAGAATTAGAACAAGAAAAACATATTAGATACATATTTAATTTTTTTTATCAACAATCTGCCAATTGTGATTATTGTTTCATCTGGCCAATAAAAATTTTCTTTTGATCACATGATTCTGCACCGCTTTAGTCGTCCCCTATTTTTGACTTTTTTCTGCAAATCTTTCTAAATTTAGTAATTTTGTAAAACCTTACCCCTCTATATATTTCAGGGTTCTATTTAACTCTACTAGTTCATCAGTTCTTAGTTTTGTAGCACTCTTGTAATTCTTACTATTTCCAACTTAGATCTTGTAAAGCTAGTTCTGAATCTTCAAGTTCTCTTTGTCAGTTTTTTGTTTCAATTCTAGTTTCTTTGTATAACCTGTATTATATAGATACTTTCAAAAATTTCTAGTATATTAGTGACACTAGTGTTATTAGAGTTACAGATGATATAATCTAATTTATCAATAAAAATCTATTATTATAACACAAGTATTTTGCCAAACTGTTGCTAGTAGGATTCAAACTTGGTATCTTAGTTACAAGCTAGCTTGGGGTGTGACAACTTCACCACTTTACTATATTGCTACACCCTTGTACTTGTTGTTTAGAAAT